TTTTTATCCTAATTAACTCATCCTTGTACAATATCTTAATCTTAATTAACTCATCCCCTGTACAATATTTTATCTTAATTAACTCATCCCTGTACAATATTTTAATCTTAATTAACTATTGTACAGGGATGATTAATTAAGATTAAACTCATCCTGTACAATATTTTAATTAAGATTAACACTGGAGGTTTCAGTATACAATCTAACCCTAAAAACACTGCAGGTATTAGTATATAATCTAACCCTAAAAACACTGCAGGTATTAGTATATAATCTAACCCTAAAAACACTGCAGGTATTAGTATATAATCTAACCCTAAAAACACTGGAGGTTTTAGTGTACAATCTAACACTAAAACACTACAGGTTTTATCACATTATCTAACACTAAAAACACTGCAGGTTTTATCACATTATCTAACACTAAAAACATTGCATGTTTTATCACACTATCTAACACTAAAACACTGCAGGTTTTATCATATTATCTAACACTAAAAACACTGCAGGTTTTATCACACTATCTAACACTAAAAACACTGCAGGTTTTATCACACTATCTAACACTAAAACACTGCAGGTATTATCACACTATCTAACACTAAAACACTGCAGGTGTTATCCCACTATCTAACACTAAAACACTGCAGGTGTTATCACACTATCTAACACTAAAACATTGCAGGTGTTATCACACTATCTAAAACTAAAAACATTGCAGGTGTTATCACACTATCTAACACTAAAAACATTGTAGGTTTTATCACACTATCTAACACTAAAAACATTGCAGTTGTTATCACACTATCTAACACTAAAAACACTGCTGCTACTAACTGAAAATAATAAGATTTTAATTTTGTAGAGAAAGGCTTAACCAACCACTCAAACAACGTTTTATTTACGTTATAAAACAAACAGTAAGGAACAATGATAGACAAGTTTTGTTTAGATCTCCAAATGTGATTAATGTGGTTAAAATAAAAATCAACAAATAATTCACCTCTCATCTTTCAATGACTTGCGAAGAACAGCGTATATGCCGACAGGAATTATGGGAAACCCTGTAGGAAATGAATAACTGTTAAAAAACAATAAATATATCTTGTAAAACAACTTGATGAAGTATGAAAAGAATAATTAATAACAGAGAAAAATTCATAAACAACACTTTTATTTACATGTGTTTAGGCTCAAAGTAACACAAGAGCTATCTGCGCTATTCCTACTGTAAGTATCGAACCTCGATATTTTAGTGATATCTAAGCTCTTAACTGAGCCCCCAGGAGTTATTTTAAAGTTAAAAAAGAGCTTGGAGAAAATAGAAGTGTTACAGATTAAGAACAGTCAACATTACAGTGTCAGAGATTAAGAAAACTCGACATCACGGTGTTACAGATTAAAGAAAGTCAACATTACAGTGTTACAGAATAAGAAAACTCGACATCACAGTGTTACAGATTAAGGAAAGTCAACATTACAGTGTTACAAATTAAGGAAAGTCAACATTACAGTGTTACAGAATAAGAAAACTCGACAATGCAGTTTACAAGTTACGAATGATATTTTATAGATACAATATTCTTACAGAAACAGTAATGTTATAAAATATCGTATTGAATATAAATATCAATGATATTCGGTTAGTTTAAGTAGATATTAACATCAATGATATTCGGTTAATTTAAGTAGATATTAATATCAATGATATTCGGTTAGTTTAAGTAGATATTAATATCAATGATATTCGGTTAGTTTAAGTAGATATTAATATCAATGATATTCGGTTAGTTTAAGTAGATATTAATATCAATCATATTCGGTTAGTTTAAGTAGATATTAACATCAATGATATTCGGTTAGTTTAAGTAGATATTAATATCAATGATATTCGGTTAGTTTAAGTAGATATTAACATCAATGATATTCGGTTAGTTTAAGTAGATATTAATACCAATGATATTCGGTTAGTTTAAGTAGATATTAACATCAATGATATTCGATTAGTTTAAGTAGATATTAATATCAATGATATTCGGTTAGTTTAAGTAGATATTAATATCAATGATATTCGGTTAGTTTAAGTAGATATTAATATTGAAATATGAGAGTTACAATCCTAATATTTATATGCTCATACTTTTAACTGAAATTGTTTTAAATTATTATAAGGATCACGTGGTACTTACCCCAACCAATAGCGTATAAGAGAGTTAAGTTCTTCCATTCAGTAAAGGCTACTGAAATGAGCCTGTCGAGATAAAACCCCTCACAGAACATCCACATGTAAGATGTCATACGGAAATATTTAGTGGCAACAAACAGAAGTTTACATTCGGGCTAGAAAACAGTAAATACATCTTAAAACTTCCCTGTAAGATGTACTAGATGTTAGTAACATAGGAGAAGAAATCCAACTTACGTAAATATTGGTTCAGTAAATGGGTGATGGCTAATATTTCAAACAATGTTTCTCCGCGTGTCAGAACCATCTGCTTGTGAATACCTAATGCTAATAACCTAATTGTTCTACATATACGGAATTATCAGATTGACTTTTGGGCTCCAGTTTCCCGCTTCATATCCCATTATTAAGGCGTTAAATCTAAAACAAAAAGTTATTCTCAAGATATTCTATTCAGTTTTAAGCCACACAAATAATACCTGTTTAATAATCTACTGATTATTTAGGATGGACGAGAACAAACTAGCTTTGAGCCGCTACACGAGTCACAAAGAAATTCTAATCAACTGTAGATGATAATCTGTTGACGAGCTCTGGCGTATTAAATTTATTTTGGTTGAAGAAAACACATTAATACATGAAGGCTAAAAGAGTGGATATTTTAGAAACGTCATTGGAGAAGCTAGATTTAATAACAATATTACAGAAAGCTCTTTAATTAAAAGGAGAATAGAAAAAAGAGTACATGAAATATGAAGAGAGACAGGAGTGTCTGTTTTTAAACGTTATTAATTTCTGGTTGGATTTAAGCCTAAGCGTGGAATAACAGACGCCACAATTATTCAATAATATCCACGATTTTTATCTAAATGAAAACCTATTTGGAGAACAACAAAATAAGGGCATTGAAATAAGATCAACAAAATAAGGACATTGAAATAAGATAAACAAATAATAACAATAAAAGATCAACAAAATAAGAACATTGAAATAAGATCAATGAAATTAAAACAATAAAATAAAATCAACAAAATAAGGACAATGAAATAAGATCAATGAAGTAAGAACAACAAAAGAAGATCAAGAAAATAAGAACAAAAATCAACAAAATAAGATCATCAAAGTAAAAACAACAAAAAAGATGAATGAAATAACGAATGATCATATCTTCTCTCAGGCTTCTTAATAATGAACGTATAGTATACATAACTACAGAAGGACTCTATTAAAGAACATACCTTAATAATGAACGTATAGTATACATAACTACAGAAGGACTCTATTAAAGAACATACCTTAATAATGAACGTATGGTATACATAACTACAGAAGGACTCTATTAAAGAACATACCTTAATAATGAACGTATAGTATACATAACTACAGAAGGACTCTATTAAAGAACATACCTTAATAATGAACGTATGGTATACATAACTACAATATCCCACTATCTAAGTAACACCAAACGGTGTTACAATGTCGTTACGATATATTCGTTTCCACTGTAACCGTTTCAAGTGATATATAGTGTGGTTTATTGGAAGTTAGACATCGTTATAACTATAGCGTTATGATAAAACAGTCTTCAAAGGATAACCAAGTAGAATTGAAATACGATTGTAAGTACGTTAAAACCAGGTTTGACAAGTCGTCAAAAAATTATAATAAATATCAGGAATAGTCTCATGTTATCCACCATGACTTGTCCCCGGAGGGACAGCGATAAGTCTACAGACTTACAACGTATAGTCCATCATTATTTCATCAACACACAAAACTAACCGAATAATGTATAGTCCATCATTACTTCACCAACAGACGAAACTAACCGAATAATGTGTAGTCTTTCAGTACTTCACCAACAGACGAAACTAACCGAATAATGTGTAGTCCTTCAGTACTTCACCAACAGACGAAACTAACCGAATAATGTGTAGTCTTTCAGTACTTCATCAACAGACGAAACTAACCGAATAATGTATAGTCCTTCATTACTTCACCAACAGACGAAACTAACCGAATAATGTATAGTACTTCATTACTTCATCAACAGACGAAACTAACCGTATAGTCCTTCATTACTTCATCAACAGATAAAACTAAGCGAATAATGTATAGTCCATCATTACTTCATCAACAGACGAAACTAACCGAATAATGCATAGTTCTTCAGTACTTCATCAACAGACGAAACTAACCGAATAATGTATAGTCCTTCATGACTTCATCAACAGACGAAACTAACCGTATAGTCCTTCATTACTTCATCAACAGATAAAACTAAGCGAATAATGTATAGTCCATCATTACTTCATCAACAGACGAAACTAACCGAATAATGTATAGTTCTTCAGTACTTCATCACCAGACGAAACTAACCGAATAATGTATAGTCCATCATTACTTCATCCACAGACGAAACTAGTTTTCAACAAAATTCACCAAATTTCATCTTCCTTCAAGATCTTCACTTCTTACTTTGGTGAAGTTGTACAGGGATGAGTTAATTAAGAATAAAATATTATACAGGGATGAGTTAATTAAGAATAAAATATTATACAGGGATGAGTTTTTAGGGTTAGATTATATACTAATACCTGCAGTGTTTTAGGGTTAGATTGTATACTAATACCTGCAGTGTTTTTAGGGTTAGATTATATACTAATACCTGCAGTGTTTTTAGGGTTAGATTGTATACTGAAACCTCCAGTGTTTTTAGGGATAGATAATATACTAATACCTGCAGTGTTTTTAGGGTTAGATTGTATACTGAAACCTCCAGTGTTTTAGGATTAGATAGTATGTTAGTTTCATCTGAAATTGTACATGTTTATCTAATTGTTGTGTGATATGTTCCTGTAAGACATTTTAAAGATTTTATTTTTTCCGAAGTATTCCTTTTAATAACACGTTATATTATGTAACAAGTTTTTCATTGTTAGTCTCCACTAACATATCTCGTCACTATTACATTTGTGACTTTAAGTAATATTTGTAACACGTAAAACCGTTAGCGTTACGCTAATGGAAAAGTGTGATATGATACACACGTGCGATGTTTATTGCTATGTTGGATTATTTTTGATTTATTGACATCTATGATTACAATTATTTTAACACGATTCGTTGCTATGACACAGGATGTTTGTTACAAGTAATAACACGACTCGTTGCTATGACACAGGATGTTTGTTACAAGTAATAACACGATTCATTGCTTTGACACAGGATGTTTGTTACAATTATTTTAACACGATTCGTTGCTATGACACAGGATGTTTGTTACAAGTAATAACACGATTCGTTGCTATGACACAGGATGTTTGTTACAATTATTTTAACACGATTCGTTGCTATGACACAGGATGTTTGTTACAATTATTTTAACACGATTCGTTG